TCCCAAGGCACCAGAAAAGAATAGTGAGGCTTCCACACGGGTGCCTGCTGCTTGCATCATAGTATATAATGCATATTTTCTATGTGTATGTAGTGCATTTATTTTCTCCATTTGAAGACGTCTAAGTACCATATATTTCGAAAGAGAGGCCGTTCAAGCTGCCACAATTCCTCAGTATACCTCTTTTACTCTTTCCCCTGTTGTTGTGTTTTTCTGCTGCAGTTTGGCGGGAGCAGCCACGATGAGCGAGACAAGAGCTGTAGAGTTCCTTCAGCAGAGAAGCGGCGTGAGCAGGACTCCTGCCCTGAAACTTAGACCTACAGCCGAATCTCCCAAGGGGCTTTGTGCGGGCGTTGGGCTGAGCTGTGTTGGGGGCCCATATGCCGTCTAGCTGCGTAAACAGTAACAGCTGGAAGGGCAATAGGAAGTGCAAAGAAATGTCTAAATCAAGCCACTTGTTTTATTGTGTACTTTCGCTTGCTGATCGTCGCAGGATGACATGTTCAATGCTGTGCGGATGCAACACAGTGTCATCTGTGAGCTTCAGAGGTAAGGAGAGGTGAAACGGCGGTGTATGCACACGAGGACTTAAGTTAAGACTTTCCAGAGCGATGCATGGCTTGTCACTGCAGTATCACTACAGCGACACCTGCGACACAATACCCTGCAATATATATTTTGCAGCTTAGTACCTAATGGCCCCTTGGAAACAGAAAAGCGGCGGGGGGGCGGGGGGAGGGGATCCCTGGCCTTTTTCTCCGTTCGGATGAACATGAAAATTAAGCGACGTCGTTGTATAAGAGGCAAATGTGTTGTGAAAATGTGGCTGGTGTGTTTACAGTGAAAATGCTCGGCTGAAGTCTGAGAAGATGGAGCAGAAACGGCATTTCAAGGCAGCGATACAGCACAGAGATTCTGTGATAAAAAGGTAATAAACACTATTTGCGCCAAGTCTGCATTTCCCTGCCCATGTGTTGTGTGTTGCAAGCAACCACTCTCAGCAGAAACTGTATAGCTTTGCCCCCTCCTCGCTCTGCATGTTGTTGCAGGTTGGGCACAGCTAACTCGACGTCTCCGGCCCACCCGTAAGCACCCATCGGTTGCATTGCTTACTACAGCATTGCTGCCGTTCTTTTTTCAGAAGTGGCTAGAGGCACGTGTGCGGTGGATCGACAGCTTGAAGGCAGTGCTGCACCGTGAGTTTTGTTGTGCTTTCTGCAGTATAACCGCCACAACAGCACGGGGAAGCAACCTTCCATCCGCAAGCCAGCAAAGGGCAGTCCTTCCCGCCGCTCCTCCCCCCCGAGCCATTGCCCCAGGAACCCCACCAACCCGTCCCAGGCGTAACGACACGACCGCTTCCTCCAATCGAGAGCTGCGGCAGGCAGGGCAGCGGAGAAGGCGGGGCACAGATACGTTAGCTGCTCCTCCCAGAACAGGAACAGCTATCGCTGGCAGCAGGCCTCCGGCCACGCCGGATAGATCTCAACATGGATCAAGGGCCCCTGCCATTGCCCATTCTTCCTCCCGACGCCCAGCTCGGCAGTCGTCTGACTCTTCTGGAGCTGTGACGGCTTCCTCTTCAGCTGCCTACCCAAAAGCCAGTCGTTTGCTTTCGGGTTGCTGCGCAGCAACCTGTAGTTCTACTGGTGGTAGCAGCAGAACAACTGTTCGTGTGCCTGAGCGTGCTGCGAAGCCCGCTGCAAAGAGCCGCAGGGGCGCGCAGCTGACGGACAGGCGTGGGGAGACACATGACCATCACACGAGTTGGCACAGAGCTGCAAACGCCCGCTATGAAGCTCAGAATATGAGAGAATATGAATTTTATCGAATCTCCATGGATGCCGGCTTCACTGACCGAGGATGTGCTTCACAGTCGGCTTCGCCTGGAGTTAGCCTCGGACCAGTTATTGGTCTGCTTCTAGTCGCAGCTATCTTTTGGGCTGTACTGCTGCGCGGCTAAGTTAACAGTGCTGCTTAAACAGCCACGTATGCTTATGCTTGTGGATATATGTACGTATGCTTGTTTACGTTTTCTGTGTATACGTATGCGCATGACTGGGAGTGCGTTTACCCATGCTTGCGTGAGTATATGATCGTGTGTAATGCTGAGGTATGTACAGGGCGAAGTATATGCGTAAGGAGAGAAATACACCTACGCATGTGATGCGTCCATGCCTGCAAACATAATTATATGCATGCGCGCATATAGTTGTACATGGACATGTACACGTGTATGTATATGTACAGTATGTCGAATTTTGGTATACAGACACTTATTTTGTACACACCTGCACGCATACTTATACACGCATGAACGAATACAGTTGTACGCGCATTGATGCGTACACACGTGTATCTCTTCAGTGAGTGCAGTTTCGGCGTGCTTCGCCACTTGTGTTCATGTGAGGTCACCAAGAGGCATGGGTTTGGCAGGCGTTACCCTGCTGTATTTCTGCATGGAATGAATAAGAACATACAGCCCACTACAGAGTTTCTTCGACGTTTGATGAATGGATTGCGTTTGAATAAGACGTTCAGTTATACCTGTCCATCCGCTAGCGATGTACAGAGCTGCAGTCCTTTTTCTCAACTCGTCTTTTGCCTGTTTTATATTATATATATTGAACTAATGGGCTGGATGCGCAAGTAGAATACTTACCGGTTTTAGCTCCCGAGTTTTAGGCATTTCATGTATTTTAGATAGACATACACACACGTGTGCAAGCTGTATGCTTAAACAAGCGATGATGCATCCAATANATGTATTTTAGATAGACATACACACACGTGTGCAAGCTGTATGCTTAAACAAGCGATGATGCATCCAATATACAGCCACCCACGCCCACACATCCATAGGATCAGTCTCCACCTCAACGAAGCATGCAGCATTTGGTGGCTTCAGCTTGCGCATCTTGCTAACTGAGCAACATATAGAGCTGCACGTAAGCGTTACGGTACATCTGAAGAGTAGAGGCCTGGTGTAGCGCGCCCGTTAAGAGCTAGATGAAATAAGCGTGGTGGTAGTCTGTTAGGTGACCACACAACAGTAAATCATAAATAGTCCTTTGGGAGATGTTCCACAACAATGACAGCAACGCCCAGCGTTTCGCAACGAACAAAAAGGTTCTGTCCCTCGAACTACAGCTGTTCCAATCGTCCTGTATTCTAGTTTGAAA